TAGTTTCCTATAGGTTCAAATAGATTTTATACAGAAAAACTTCATCTGACATAAAAGTACAAGATATACTATGTATTTGTAAAAATAGTGTCGTATCTAGCGGGTTTTTGGCATGCCAATATATGTTAACCATGTACATAAAATCATCTTTGCCATGTATCATTGCCGGACAATGTGATAGTCTCCCGTGTGATTGAAATCTATTTTAAATAATGCTTATTGTACTTCTTAATCTGCATTTCTGGCGCACAGAAGTATGAATTCAAGGTTACCTGCAGTTCTAGGGATTTTACTTCATTGGCTTAAATACAGTGTTTATTGAAAAAAGTTATTTGTTGAGTCAACAAGTTGAACAGTACTTCCACAGAAGATAAAATACTGCTATGGAATTTACTGGCTATGAAAAATAAGTTATAGTTAGTTCCAGAGTTTAAAAATTCTCTTTATTCATATTATAATTTTGAAATCGAACTGCTGCTGACTGGCACTTGCACAGTGGGAGGCAAGGAAATTAAAGGGAAGTGAACATAGAAAGTATCAAAATGTAATCTACCACTGTGCCCTTTGTGATGTTTAGAGATATGTGTATAGAAACCAATTTTACCTGCCAGCATCCCTGCCCATTCCACCAAGAGATGTTAGCTTAGTATATTTGACAGTGTTCTCTGTTACTCAGCAGAATGCAGTAACAGTTCAGCATTTTGGCCTCACTGCACTAAATAGAGTCATTCTGGACATACGCATAATTAGAAAACACCAAGAACAGCAGAGTTACATCTTAACTAGGCCATTTGATTGCACGTTTATTAAGTATCCTTTCACAGATGTATTGCCTAGAACATATATTTATATTAATAAAGCTTTTTACAACTGTACATGCAATCTGTGTAAAGCGCTGAGAATTAGAAATGCAGTAAGGGGCTATTTGTTGCCATGCTATAGCCAGGTTAGTGACAGCCAGGTTTATTCTCCTTCTGCATTGTGGGTGAGTGGCCAGTGTTCCTGGAAAAGGAGTTGGGAGAAGGGGCATGGCTGCTCCCTTGACAGGACCAGGGTAAGCACCTCGAAGTACTGACCATGTTCCTGGAGCATGTCCCCTCATCTCCCCCTAGCTTCACCCCTCCAAAACAGAATCCTAACTAAGCTGCAGCTGTACTGTCAAGTGGCCTTGCTTAGCCTGTCACAGAAGAAGAGGCCACCTGGGAGCAGAAGGAGGAGAAGGCAGGTCCCTTGCAGTTCATGGACGTTTGTCTCATCTCATCCTTGTGTTTTTTACTGTATTGAAGAAATTGTTGCTAATTTCATAAGTTACATGTGTCTTACTAAGAGGAAATATATGCTTAAGCTAGAAAAATTTAACAGTTAAATGTCAGTATTTTTCATTCACAGTTGCCACTGACTGTTTCTTAGGCCAACCACAGCAGTGTAAGAGAAGCAGGCCATTTCTGCCTTTACATACCATTTTTGGGAAGTCAGCATCATCCTCCAAAGTGCCAAGCAGTGTTTCATCTCCTGGGATAGGCAAGGTGTGCAGAAGCACAGAAACTAAACGTTTAAGCCTTCTTGGTTTATCTTCTAATTACCATATCTGCTAATAATGTACTCTTTAATTTTAAAGGTGGAATAAATGTGTGAGGAGAAAGAGCTTAGAAGTTTAGAGTTTGAAAAATGGATACAAAGTATGGATTCTATATAAAGTTAACTGGAAGATAGCATTGATAATCATATTTGGTCATTTATTGACTTTGGAGCTATTTGAAAAATATTTTATATCGTTTTTACCTTGTATTTAGGAAAAATCCAAAAGATGCAATTATTGATGACATATTAAAGGCACTTGTTTTTATCTGAATACAGAAAAATTGCTGTAAAATCATAAATATGCGTATTGTCCTTAAAGCATAGGTGTAGGTCTGTTCTCAATAATGCAGTACATGTTATGGTATTTTGGTGTTTTTTTCTGTAATACGGCTCATGTGTGCTGGCCAGCACATTTTCACATAGTTGTATTATGTTCTGTTTTTGTTGAGAAGACACTGAATACATTTTAAATGACAGAGGCTAGCATTGTATTACCTAGCTAATGCTTTTCATCGTACAAACTTACTACTGAGTTGAAATGTTTTAATTTATGAATATATTTCAGATATTTCTTTAAGCATTTTATAGTAACACTCACTTAAGATGATGTTCTTGAGACAAACTTCCAAGTAGTTTCTTTGCTTGCTGCTCTTTTTCTGAAAGCTCTATTTACACGTTGTATGCTTTGTTTCAGATATATCTATTGTGATGAAATTGACTTGGCTGCAGACACAGTGCTGGCCACACTGTATGCTGCCAAAAAGTACATTGTCCCTCACCTTGCCCGAGCCTGTGTGAATTTCCTGGAGACCAGCCTGAGTGCCAAGAACGCCTGTGTGCTGCTCTCCCAGAGCTGCCTATTCGAAGAGCCAGACCTGACCCAGCGCTGCTGGGAGGTGATCGATGCCCAGGCTGAGTTAGCTCTCAAGTCTGAGGGGTTCTGTGATATCGACTTCCAGACGCTAGAAAGCATCCTCCGCAGGGAAACTCTGAATGCCAAAGAAATTGTCGTTTTTGAGGCAGCTCTCAACTGGGCTGAAGTAGAATGCCAGCGACAAGATCTAGCCTTGAGCATTGAAAATAAACGCAAAGTCCTAGGAAAGGCACTTTACTTAATCCGCATACCCACAATGGCCCTTGATGACTTTGCAAATGGTGCTGCCCAGTCCGGAGTATTAACTCTCAATGAGACCAATGACATCTTCCTCTGGTACACTGCGGCCAAAAAGCCTGAGTTGCAGTTTGTGAGTAAAGCCCGCAAGGGTCTCGTCCCCCAGCGCTGTCACCGTTTCCAATCTTGTGCCTATCGGAGCAACCAGTGGCGCTATCGGGGCCGCTGTGACAGCATCCAATTTGCAGTTGACAAGAGAGTATTCATTGCAGGCTTTGGGCTGTATGGCTCCAGCTGTGGCTCTGCAGAGTACAGTGCCAAGATCGAACTCAAGCGTCAGGGCGTTGTCTTGGGGCAGAACTTGAGCAAGTATTTCTCAGATGGGTCCAGCAATACCTTCCCTGTGTGGTTTGAGTACCCAGTGCAGATCGAGCCAGACACCTTTTACACAGCCAGTGTGATCCTGGATGGCAATGAACTCAGCTACTTCGGACAAGAAGGCATGACGGAAGTTCAGTGTGGCAAAGTGACTGTCCAGTTTCAGTGCTCCTCAGATAGCACAAATGGCACTGGTGTACAGGGAGGGCAGATCCCTGAACTTATATTCTATGCTTGAAACTTTGCCTCCCCAAAGCAGTGCAAGCCACAGGTGCATATCTGGTCCCTCCTTGCTTAATGCGTAGCTCATCTGCAGATAAGCAATCAGTGCAGGTAATTTGTAATGAATGACGTGGTAGGCAGTTTCTAATTTCTTTTAACCTTTTAATTATGTACAGGCTAAAACGCAGCATTCTGCTTTTAACTGTATACTTAAGAGTCAAGTTCTTACTAAAGCTTTGTGGTTTTTAGAGTTGCTCTGTACACCAAAAGGAGAGATTGTACTCTTCCATGTGCCCCGCCGATCTCCCAGTTGTGTCCCTCTGAAGAAAGTTTGGGATCGCCTCAAATTTCCTTCTGGATTTTATTGGATGAATGGAAATAGTCTAAAATAGTAACATAAAGAATTATTTTTAAACAGAAGCCCTTGCCCCTTAAAAAAAAGATAAATCTCTGTGTACAATTTTGGAAGAAGTTGTGGTTTATAGGAGGTAATGACTTAGAAAGTAGCCAGTAGTCATATTTAGCTCTTACTTTATTCCTTTTAAATTTGTTGTTTCTGGGCTTTACTTTTTAAATTTTAAATTCATAAGATTATTACATATTAAATCAGTGTTAGTGTAAAATAGGAAAGTAAGGAATTGGGTGTTTAGGCCATGGCTTTAACTACAAAGCAGATTTATATTTTTGTTTACAAGACAAGATATCACTGTACAGCATACTTCTTTTAGAAGTAACACAATTACAAAATTTTATTGTCACTAGAAAAAAAATTTAGGCTTGCTCATTTACATTAAAGTAGTTTAAAAAGAAAACCTAAGAAAGTTCTGTACCACAAATAGTGTAATTAAATGACACATTAGAGTACACAGTTTGAAAAAGCCAAACCCCTTTCTTGCCATGTAGCTTTGGATCCTAGCTATTTGCTTTTTTTTCTGTCACATTGTATAGAATTCCTTTTCTCTTTCTGCCCATTAAAAGAGGACCAAACAATTCTTTAGAGGAAGGGAGTAATAGTTTTGTAGGACTACATGTTAATGTGATAAAGTTTTATTCATTGTTTTTAATCTGAAATATACTTTATTTGCTCTTTGACCATATCATCTATCTTATTTGTTGATTATAGTTCTGTCTTGTTGAACTGCTAGAATCTGGCCTCTGGCCATTTTACAGTGCCAATATATGTCTGCAGGGTTTTTGAGCAACACACTTGATTATGCCTAATATTCACTGCATCAGCATTACGCTAGCTCTTTCATTTGCCCATGGATAATGTAAGCAAAGGAGGGAAGTGCTCATTAAGAAATTCTCCTTCAGTGATGGCTTGTGTTGGTTTAGTGCCTGTTACCCTGCAGTGTCCAATGTGTCACTGCCAGGTGAAGTGTCCATGTGTTTCTGGGCAGCTTCTCTGCTCAGTGTGGTCCTGAGATGGCCTTCCCCACCACCTAGAGTGTGGTCCCTGGCCGCCTCCTTCTCCTGCTCCACAAGTCCAAAACTGGCTTGTCTGGAGCCAGGGGTTAGTCCTGGGGTGTGTGTGTGCCTGCACACCTGTGCGCATGGGATTGCTGACTCAGGAATTGCCTCCTCCCTGCCTGGCTAGTGAGAGGCTGGACAGGAATGGTCCCCCTGGTGGCCCCAGCAAGGCCCAAGGAGTGACTACCCTTCCTTACTGTGCTTCTGGGCCGCTTCCTCCCCTGGAGGCATGGGCTTGTTGCCTTTGGCCAGCTGCCCTGATGGAGAACACTGGATTATAGGAAATGTTTCATTCATGTTTGCCATTACCTTTATCTGTGAATAGTTATTTCTTATTAGGGAGATTACAGGTAGTTTTGGCAAAGCATCGATGAAATAGAGGCACATTTTCAATTAAAAATGCTTCTACAAAGATGTTGTTTTTAAGTTATGGTTAAACATTTCAGTAACTCAGCACTACCATGCAAATTGGTGGGCCTGATGAGAAGGCACTGTTTTAGGCCAGAGGAGAAGAAACGAGCACTGATTTCACGCTATCACATGGATGAAGTCAGTGTGAAAGCCTTAGAGTGGTGTCATTCGTTCACTGTTCACTTTATTTTTTTTTCCCATTAAGTTTGTTGGTACATTTTCGGTATAAAATACAGTTACATTTATCATTGGGATCTGGTACCTTTTCATGAGTATCTTGGTTCTTATTTTTTTCCCCCTTTCCTTGCCCTCCCTTCATCCCCTCCACCATTCCCTATTTGCAAAGACCTTGTTTCCATTTTTTTTCCTCTTTTCATATTTTTTCCTTTCCCTTTTTTCCCTTCCCCTACCCCTCCCAATTCCCATGGACTTTTAGATCTTTTCTTCCTGTTACACAATATCAGTTATACATTTTTTCAATTACAATATTAAGATCTAGGAGACATTACCACAGATTTTACAGAATTTAAAAGGATATAGAAAGCATATT